TTACCACCTGTGCCAAACTACCAGAGTAGTACAAGTGCAGATGTGACTCTAATACAATTGCACCTTCCATGTCAGCTACCTGGATCTAAATGGATACCTGTTTACTTCCAGTGTCAAAGACATCTGATACATATAGACTGGTGATCTGATGACTAATTGAGAAATAATTAGGCAGCAGCATGAGAGTTTCTGAAAACACAGATCCACAAAATGAATGAGGCAGAAGCAGGAAAAACCTTGCTCTGCTGGGCATCAGGAACAGCTTCCTCTCCAGCAAGGAGAATAGTGAGCAGCACATCAGAGGTGCCTTGACGGGGCAGTGTGGCTTCCACATACTTTGCAAAAGCTGTGCAACTGCAAAACTTCTTTTTTCAGCCCTAATAATTAGAAAGTGTAATTTGCTTTTTTTGCAGGCTAGCTGATAAGTGTGCTAGGAAATTTTTGTGTTTTGTATAAGGTATAAGGTGTTCAACTGAGATGATGTTTGAGACAAAAAAAACCCACTTGTTGACTCTTGGGTTATGGGAGAAGATGACCCTGGGATTCAAGTGGTTTAAAAGCTTACTTTAGGGGTTAAATGGGTCTATTTAAATGTGATGGACTGAACCGTCACTGGGGCTGCTGGAGGAGCCTGAGGGCTAGCCTCCTTCCTAGATACTATGGACCTAGGACTATAAAGACCCCCCTTGTGGGTTGAACTGGGTGTCCGGGGCCCATGGACGGCTGTTGCGGGGGAGCCTGGCCCTACAGCCGTCCAATTTCACAATTAAATACCGGCTCTGGAAACCCAGTGTTAATGACAATGGTACACATATCAGCCCTCCCTTTCAAGCTATCAGACCAATCTCTGTTTACCCTGTTTCAAGTCCTCATTTGCATGGCCAAGAGGACCTAAGTGAGGACTAAAGGATACTTTGCAGTCGACCAATAGGAAGGTGGTCGGTTGGGCCACCTTCAAACTGTTGTTTATAAAAGTGTGTGTGTGCATCCAATAAAGGAGATTCCTGTTTGAACTTACATGCAGCCTGCCTGGTGTCTGTTCTGAGCTATCACCACTGTATACGAACGGCACATAGCTGTAGTTCGAATCCCAAATTATCGGATATCCGAAATATCAGACGCTGCGGTCTGAAATCTAAGGAGTGCCGGGAGAGTGGAACCGAGCGAGCAGGGGCTCGTCACAAATGGGTCTATTTATAAAGCAGCGAATGTGACTTTCACTGGTGGAAAATCTATCAGGTCCATGTGTTTAAATGACAGTGATTGATTCACATTCACTGCTTCATAAATAGACCGCTAATGTTAGGGTTGGGGGAGTTAATTGTTAAGGAACAGGTTAGGTTACGTGTTTTTTTGGGGAGAGTTAGGGTACAGTATACTTTGCTTCTAATTGACTTTAGGGGCGCTGCAGTGTTTTCATTGTTCTCTGTGCCAGTGCTGGTAGTTTTCTGTGTGGAGCTCTGCAGCTCTCCTAATCAGAACACTTAACAAAAGACAGGACAGCATAGTCCTTGGCCCTATGCTGCCTCTCTAAGTACATTCATACATAGAAAATTAGTTACTTAAATACTTACCTCCACTGGCATAACTGCTGTTCTGGGTTGCCTTTAGTACCAAAGCTTTGGCCATGCAATCTCAGTCAAAGGTCAGGCAAAGGTTATGTGACCAGTGCCTTGGCATTGACTGGAATTAGAGGAATCCTAAGGCAGTGTTTCCCTCAGGATAGGTAAGTAATTTACTTGGGCAGAACAAAATAATCAGAAGTTTTTAATCTCTAAATGCAGAACTGATGACAAACAGCAAGAAGGCTATTAAACTATCTGAATCAGCCAAAATTCGAGCTGTTGGTGACCCGTTAGCACTACCTGGCTCAGCAAAAGTCGATTTAAAAATCAGCTGAGGCCAGTGTAAGATTCTTGAATCTCGGTTGAACCATGACCACGTTCTATCAGGTGCAGTCACTGTTCAGGTACTCGGGTGTTGTGGCTGTCTGAATACAATAGCTGGAAGCAGAGATTAATCTATTTATGCTGTTTAGCATGGATGGGGGAATCAATTGATGTTTTTTTCATTGATCCTGCAGAGTATGGCTAACTTTAGAAAATCCTAAAACACTTGGTCAACATGGATACTGGCACAGGGAGATAACTATTCGAGATTCTGTATAAAGGGCGAAAACAAATAGCGGTCAGGCAAGGTTTTTAGAACATATCCAATCAGTTCTTCTACCGATGCTGACAGCGCTTGCTGGAAACCAATATATTATCTCCCTATCAAGCAGAAAGTGTCTGGATTGGAAGACTGTCATCTAATGTCTATGGATATCTTTATGCTTTGCTTATTCCCCATCCAGAATCAGACCCAATATTTGGAAGCGCTAGATTTAGCAGTTGGGAAAAAGAGGTTTATGTTTACACTTAGCAAATAAGTTATATTTTTCCTATGAATAGATATAGGTTTAACATCTCTGACCTGAAATGTCTTTGTTTTTCTGTTTTATCCTTTCAGATATCTGCAGGCTACTACCACTGTTAAGATTGCAATTATCTATGGCCTACTTGCTGTTAGTCAATTTAGATAAGGATTCAAGTGAACAAAGAGATATGTATCTTCAGAAGCCTTTCAGAAGAACAAAAGCAACAATTAATACCCCAGTGTAAACCTAACAACTTGATATCTCTCTTAACAAATCAGTGAGCTTTAATGGCTGAAATGATATCACTTGCCCAAGAACCAGAGCCTTCTGTTATGTCATTTTATAATCCAAATAAATACATCCTGTTTCTTCATATATAAATAATTATGATCAAACAACACTGCGGTTTCCCTCTAAGAAAACAGCATCTCAGTCATCATGAGGCATGTGGTTATCTTGATGGCCAAATAACCTGTGTATATGCTATATCAATTTTATTACAAAATATTGTAAATAACAAAAACAGAAGATATATTTTAAACCAATTCAAAATGAAGCAAATGCTCCATAGAGATGCGGACCCGACAATCATAAACTGGAATGTATAATGTCTCTGTACATCTGTAATTGTCTCTATTTATAAAATACAATCATGTAACCAAACAGTCACTGTACAGATATACAAAAACTAAGGGGGTTATTCACTAATGAGCCGAAGGATCCAGCCTTAGCTTCAGCTGATCCTTCGGCTCTCTTCGGGCGCCTGAGCCCTTCGGTTCAGTCGAGCCGAAGGGCTGCTGTACAGGCTATTCACTATAGCCTGTACAGCAGCTGAAGTGACAGGCAAGACGTGGAGAAAGGTCAGCCAAAGCCGACAGGTCTCCACGCAAATGACAGCTGGGCTGAGCCAGCCATAATCTCACGGCTCGCTCTGCCCAGTTGTAATGACAGATCAGCATCCCCAAATGACCTGTGGACGCTGATCTCTCATTAAACAATAACAACTGGCGGAGTCGGCCGTGACATCACGGCTGGCTCCACCCAGTTGTTATTTATTGGCTGGGACCTGCTAGAACAGTACACAGCAGAATAGCCGAGACAAATTCCACTCGGCGGCATTTGGCTATTCACTTACTGCTGTTCGGCCCCTATGGGAAAAGGGGCAAACAGCAGCGAGTGAGCTGCCGGAGCTTCAGCTCAGCCGATCCAGATGTTGGATCGGCTGAGTCGAACTCCTTCTGCACTGACCGAAGGCAGCCGATGTACGGCTGATTTTAGTCAATGTACAAGCCGTACAAGGCTGAAGTGAATAGCCGAACAGCGTTCGGCTCACTTCACTTTGGCTGGGTCATTCACTTGGCTGCCTTCAGCAGTTAAGTGAATAACCCCCTAAGTGTATGACCATGGTGATCATATACGCTTTTCGGATATATATTTGTTTCTAGGTATTATGTAACAGTTCCTCTGTTGACACACAATAGTACAATGCTTTTATATATATATATATATATATAGGAGATCTGGTGTTACAGAATATTTTCTTCACTGTCCCTTGGCTTTAATTTTTTACTTGTCCCTCTAATTTTGTTTTATACACAGACTCATACATAATAATTATTCCTTGGAATAAATATACACCAAAATCCAGATGGATCAACCTTACAAAGAATTTGTTTTTCGACAGTTGCTTGCTGCTTAGCTAAAGGCACCTAAAGTTAGAGAAAAGAACACAATAGAGCCAACTCCAGCATTTGGAGTTGGTAACAGGGGACAGTTAAACAAAACATATGCTTGTAATACAGCATGTGAGAACGAAAAATGTTTTTTGTAAATGCAATATCTTGTAGAATAGTACCTGAGCATAACTTAATTGAGCACACTTGGTGGACCCAGTTTGGGCACTTGTGGGCTAATCAAAATGCTCATACTAATAACTAATAAAGAATTTCCTAATATCCCTCAATCAGATTGCAAAATGCAGGGCAAGTGTGACGCTAATTTATGGCTAAAGAGAAGTAACTGTGGCTCTATAAAGTATGAGGACTTAATGGGCTGATGTATGAAAAAGGTTCCAGAAGACTTTATTTTTTCCCATAGCAAACGATGAGCTTCAGACTGTTATCTTTGTAGTCTACATTTAAAAAGAAAACTGGATTTCCTTTGACCTCACTATAAAGAGATTAGGGTCAGTTAGGAAACTGTCTTTGTTTCAGGGGGTTACTACTTTGGAGTTTTCGTTTATCTTGGGATATATTGTTTATATTTTTATATTGATTGGGCCTTTATTGTAGGTTAAACTGTGGTAGAACAAGGCATGGTAAGTCAGTAATGGGGAAAAAAACAGATGCAGGAAGAGCACAGGCAATACTGGTGACTAACGATGGCCTCCGGTTCTCTCCCCTTCTCCCGACCACAGCAATTGCCGCCCTCTGGGAATCTGCCGCTCCAGGCAAACGCCTTGTTTGCCTGGCGGCAGATACCCCCCTGGGTGACTAGTCCTTTTACCTCTGCTTGGCTTTTTTTGGGCACTGCTTCCACAGTTAATTTCCTCATTAGGAGCTGCTGCTCTGTTTTTTTTCCTTACCTTTACTTATGTCTTCAAATTCAAGCCACATCTGCCTCTGAACTTGCCGGTTGGGGTACCAGATCGAGCATGTCTCCTCAAACCCATACACTGCCTCCTGAATGTAATGGTTTCCAAACTGTTCCAACAGTGGCATAAATTCTAGCCGTGAAGTTGCTCCATCCAGTGCATGTAGAGCATGAGTAAAGGCTGAAAATATTAATCAAAAATAAACAAATGGAAAATTAAACTGGTCATAAAGGAAATCAATGAACACTAATAGTACCAATACTACCTATACAGCACCTATAATTTTCATGTTTTCCATAGAAACTCTGCTTAGAAAGAATATGAAAAGTGTTGGTTTAATGTTCACTTCGTGTTGACATGATGGTTGGTAAATAGAAAACACTCAAAATGTATGAACTTTGCTTTTGTCCTTATTTTGCTTCCTCTTCTGCCCACCTCAAAAGCATCAAAGTTCTAAAAAGGACTGTCAACATCCTGGGACAGCTTTCCTCACCCTTTTTACCCAGGAAGAACACTTGATATAATTTTCAGGTGACAGGGAACCCTTGCTAAAAATTGTAATATATATGGCTCAAAATATTATCTATTAGCGTGATTAGTATGTTGTAGATATAATAATATAAGATTACATTTTGTGGTATATTTATAATTTGATTCCCCACGCAGATCATTTTTAACACCCTTTCTGCTTTATTAAACAAAAAAATAACATTAATATAAAAAGGAACAAGTAATAATAATCACAAAAGAAGAAGTCAGTGGAGAAGTGCTCCCTTACACTGCTGGCCAGTGAAAAATGTTGCCCTATGCTGGTGATCGGTGGGAGAAGGGCCTCCTTTCATCTACGGTAAGTATGAGGAATAATGCCCCTAACATTGGGGGTCCAGCCTGATTACATTTGTGGCTGATAGGAACCATGCCCCTTAAATTGGTGCTAAGTGGGATGAATGACAGCCTTACAGCTAAAAAGACCACTGGCATCTGTAAAGAAGCTCAACTAGTGCCATGCTGCTGGATCTACTGAGTCACGTTTCTCCACTATTATGCAGGCACTATCAAGTCTGAGGTCAATCCAACACTGCTCACTGGCCAAGAAACCCCTGGCAACTTCTGAAGGAACCCTAGGTTGAGAATGGCTGGCGTAGGGCATCATTATATCTGAGTATAGTCTACACACATACTGTCAACCTAATTCTACCATCTTCACAGTATGCAGCACAAGACAGTAAGTCCCAAATAAGGGCAAACAGAGATAAGCTGCATACATAAAATTAGGCTGCTGTTACAATTAACTCTAAATTTGATAACATTATCATACATGCTATTTTGTAATTAACATTTTTAAAAATTATCTTTCTATTACATTCTGCAGCCATCTGATTTTGCCAAGCCACCTGAAGCTGCCAAAATGTGGACATTGTTTCTTTTTAGCTATGACAGTAACATTCTGTATTGTATTTGCCCAGAGCACCCCAGAAATGCTCTTGCGATTGATTAGCTTACTGCTTTTTCCAGCAGTATGTATGGTGTTACAATACTAGAACTGATAATTTGTCTATAGCAGCACAACACTTCCATTGAGGAAGGAGGAAGTAAGTGCAGTATTGGTGTGAGTTTGTACCAGCATGAGATGAAAATCTGTTTGTTAACTTGCAATGTACATAATTGATTTGGAAAAGATACATGTTTCTTAACAAATGTAGAGTTATACTTTAAATCCCATCTCCAACTTAGTGAAGGAACACCCTCCCCAGCCCTCCCTTGCACCCTCACTTGAACCCTCCCCGCCTGTTTAAAAAAAATACACACCTAAAATCCAACAGTCTTCTGGCTGGGCCAGTGACATCATGGTCCCTTCTTTGGCCACAATGAGCTGTCCTTACGCCTGAGTGATGCTGACATAATGCCATTTGGGTGATGTTCAGTGCAGTAGTACTGTGATCCCAGGCTGCAGTAAGAAAACACCTCCATGGGGTGTATCAATTACAGCCAAGCCTCATAGGAAATTGGATTAATGACGCTGACCGTATTTCAGCCTAGAAAACTGGCAACATCTGGTGATGGAGAGTATCTTTTGCGGTGGACATGCTGGACTGATGAGTTTAGATAATTTTGTAGTTTATTGTTATTATAATTCTGCAAAATAAAAAAAACTTTCTTGCAACCATGGCAAAACTGAATGGATCTGTATAATATTTGTGTATAATTTTCACTATAATGCTCACTTTGTCAAACAGTGTTTCCTGGAAATCTGCACAAAGCCTGAAAGCAAATTATATGATACCCCTGGAATAGGAGTTTCATTCATGGTAATATACTTTCTAATGGCTTTGATGGCTGTCACTGCTTTTATTACAACTCTAAGATGCTCAGGTAGGTATAAGAAGAGCAGACCCCCACAACAGCTGTGAGTTTGATAAATGTGCTTGCACAGCTTACATCAATATTTCAAGAAAACAAATTGGTAAGTGGAGTAAAATTTAAAAAAGTGGGGTAAAGGGACATTTTATTTAATAAAGTTGTGATCTAAATGTGTATAAACTGGTTATTGGGGAATTGATATTATAGGGAGATCTATAGCTAAAAAAGGTAGGAATCTGCAATAAACTTTTCTGAAAACCCTCAAGGTATATTTTTACCCAATTGGAATTTTTCTTTAAAAGATAGTATAATACAATTATTTTATTGTTATATATAAAACATATCCTCGGCATTTGTCTAATGCAAACAGAGCAATGGCGTATATTTGTGCATTCTTAGGATCTGGAGGTATCTCAAAAAGATCTGTGATTTGGAGTACTTGGATGTGACACATTTCCAGAATGCCGATATAAAAATGTAACAGAGAATAAATATGTGAGCTAGAGGTGTTCTTCTGTAAAACAACACTTGTACAAGAATCATAGGTCACAGATTTTTTTGAGTCTGCCAAAAGCACGGCAGACATTGCATTACACTGTGCAGTAACACATACTTCCATGAATACCTTGCCAATACTTGAAGGAGACATTTTCCCAGTATAATATATCAATAACGAGATACAATAAGAGACGAAAACAGAAGAATATAACAGAGCAGAACTGAAGCATATGACAGAAAAAGAGGAAAAGTGCTAAGGGTCTCAGGTTTGATCCTTCATGTATTCACTACTAAAACAATATTTTACCATTTCAGTATTATTGTATGCTTCTCAATAATTTTAAAGGAAGGCTACAACGATTGGGGGTAAACATTGTCATTTATCATTTATTTTAAGTTTATATGTTCTCAAGTTCATGTTTTATATTTATTTTTGTGCTATTTATATGATCTTAGGTTTACAAGCCTTAGGTTTACAAATAACAATAATTACAAGATACACCCATTAATCAGGAGCCACACAGCATTACCAGTCGCTGCTTCGTGCAACCACTTCTGAACAGAGCAGGCAGATGGCACTTCTTTGATTTACTTGTATGTAAACATTTGAGCTTGAGCAACAGAGCCCTGTGTAACATTTTTTTTGTTACCAAAGGAGCTAAGGAAACCCTGCAAACATGTGGAAAGGAGCAAACAGCTCCACCTGAAGGATAAACTTTGGTGTGTACAAGAATGCCTGGGCTATGTGTCTTTGCAGCAAAGGGTCCATCTGCCAGGGATGCCGGGGAAAACAATCACAGGCAGGTAAAACATTTATGACAAAAAACATACTTTTCTGTCATACCTAGCTACCTGTCAGCATTTTGTAGTTCCGCTTTAAGGGCTTGTTCACCCCAAAAAACAGTGCGTTTCAGAGCTGTCAGCTGCTGGAACGCACTATATCATATCCCATTCGGCTTTCTGCGTTCAGAGGCAGGAGGGGCATGGCGGTGCATTAAAGTCAATGGCACTGCAGCCACAGTCCTTTTGGAGGACCAGTGCAATTTGAAAAAATGCTGCAAGCACTATTTTTTCAGATCGCACTCGACCGGAATTGCTTTGCCACGCATTCTGGTGTGGGCAATCGCACTGTGGGTGAGGGGTGTGGCTGCGGTGCGATTGACTTCAATGGACCACCAAGCCCCCTCCTGCTCCTGAAGGCAGGAAGCCACTTTCACTAAAATTGACATCAACATGCAATTTTCCATGCTAATATAATATCATATATAAAATGATCATTTACACTTACATTAATTAATTCAACTTTTTTTTCTTTTGCTTTTACATACAATTACTACTTTTCCACTTCCTATTGGCAAGAGGCACTGGTGATGTAGCCCTGCCCTCACAGATGCATAATGGGAAGGCTAAAACACCAGTTCCTTCCTGGGAACCCAGAGTTCCAGGAAATAAAGGAAGACGGAATAATTTGCCCTTAGTAAAAATGGCCACCGTGAGAAGAATGGAGAGGAAAAGAAAAGTAAGGTACGTCAAGAATCAAAAGCCGGCAATTATCTATGAGCATCTGAATGTAGACTGCCATTACTAAACATTTCTAAAGGTGACTTTGTTGTCATTTTTAAGAAAAGGATGAAGTTCTTCTTTACGTTAAAGAGTTCTGTTGAGGGAAGGGTTATTGTTATGCGGTCATAAAAAGTAAAGAATGTTCACTTTTATAAATGTGTTTAAAGTGCTTTACTACTATCATAAGCTGCCCTATACTGGCAGGACAGTTTCATATAGTAATACAGCACATTTAACACAAAAATAAAAAACACATATTCTTTACTATTTATATAGTCTGAATGGATAACAGACACGTAGCCCCACAAAAAAAATTTTTTCGTTTTGGATGGAGAATAGTCACATGTCCGTATTAGTTTTGTTTTTCTTTAAATGAGCATTTGGATTTGTTTGCATTTGGACACATTAGAATTTGGAAATTCGGATGCATCCAAATGTCTGAATGTAAAATAAATTGTATAAATATCTATTCGGATCAAAATTACATTTACGTTTAATGGTAATTTAAAATTAAGGAATATTTTGTTCACTGTCCCTTGGTTTACATTTTTTTCTTATCCCTCTAATTTTGTTTTATACACAGACTAATATATAATAATTATTCCTTGGAATAAATATACACCAAAATCCAGATGGATCAACTTTAGAAATAATTTGTTGTTCGACAGTTGCTTGCTGCTTAGCTAAAGACACCTAAAGTTAAAGAAAATAACACAATAGAGCTGACTCCAGCATTTGGAGTTGATAACAGGGGACAGTTAAACAAAACACATGCTTGTAATACACCATGTGAGAGAAAGAAAGAGGATTTTTGCCAATGCAATATCTTGTAGAATAGTAACTGAGCATAACTTCATTGAGCACACTTGGGGGGACCCAGTTTGGACACTGAGGGGTTGATTTACTAACCTTATAAACATGCCACAAACAAATATACACCTCTGTAGTGTGTTCCCTCCCAGCATGATCTATTGGTGGAATCTAGACACCTTTGTAGTGTCTACACACCCAGCAGGTGTGTTGTGCAAAGCCCTGCATGAATTGCAAGGTGATGTTGTGTAACTTAGCTCTACATTGTGTTGCTTGCGTTGATGAATGCAGGAATGTAAATGCATGAGCTAACCATTTTTGTCTAAACTGTGAAGCAGCATTATATATGCATCATGTGCATGATTTTTCCATATATGGCATTAGTGGAAATATGCTTTTAGAGACTTTTTGGCTGATAAATACGCTTTGCTGTGTAAAAATCACACGCACCTAGTGCGTGCGTGTGTTTAGGTTAGTAAATCACCCCCAAGGGGTCTTACGTATCAAAATGCTCCTACTAATAACTAATTTCCTGACATCCTTCAATCAGATTACAAAATTCAGGGCAAATTTAATGCTAAATGATGCCCATAGCAATTGATGAGCTTCAGACTGTTATATCCTATTTAGTTTTGTTTTGAACAAAACTCAGACAGATGCACATTCTCGTTAAAGGAACATTCAGTCGCGTCCGAATTTGGAAATCCAGATGCATCAATGCATCATACGGATATCCATTCTCAGTGAAACAATATTTACATGTCGACTGCATAACACTAATAACATAACACAGCTTCAATTGGGCTTAAAGGGTTACGTTAATGTGAGGAGTCAGGGGATGTGGGAGCAGATTCTGGTTGAACTTGATTTCGTAGTCAGGAACTCTCAGCCACATTTTAAGATACTCAAATAATCTAATGAAAAGTATCCCATAGCTTATGGTTGTGCTTCTAAATATAAACTGCTACATCAATCTAACTGAACTGGCTTATTTAATAAGCCAAAGAGAAACGTACTATCTGCAGTAACACACAGAGGCCATTATGGTTCCTTGATATATCTATTCTAGCCTGATCAAATGTGACGCCTGATTGGTTGCTATGGGTTACTTATCTTTGCACATTATCATTCCACTTTGCACTGACTTAAATAATAAGCATATATATCTATTGCAAATAGAGATGCAGACACACCCACAAATATAGGATGACAGTGAGCTGACAGAACGTTGCCTGATGAAAGGCTTTTCTGTACGTCTCTCTACAAATTTCGCAGTGTGTATTTTCCTATTATATATGCTGAGAACTGGTGGGCCTCTCTCTGCACTGACAATACAAAACAACAGGGAATTAGATTAGACTCTAAGCAGCCAACATACTTTTCATCTCTCTTTGGTGTTCCCAGGTTATCTGTCTCTGATGGATCTTTCCGAATATACTCTCCAATTACAGTATTGCCCAAATGTGTCAAAATCTGTTGCAATATTAAAATACTACTATAAACTGTGTAGCGAGTCAAATGATCATGGATTCATAAATGTACCATTACTGCAAAGTTACACATGTCATTAAAGGTTACACGCTTCTTTACATTTTTTGATGCTTCTAGGATTCCTAGCTCAGGGACAGAGCAAAAGCAGGACCCTTTTATGAATTAGCTTGCCTTTCATTTTGTTCATGTGTTTTGGTGCAAACAGCTCATTAATGCCATCACAATCATGTGTTATGCGCTGAAAAATAAAGAGAACACATTTTCTTCTAAAATAAATATGTTATAATTGATCAGCCCATTTCCCTTCTTGGCATTTTTGTTTTTCTGCATCTAAGAACACAAGGTCAGTTTTAATGAGTGGGATTATTTCATCAAATAGCTCACGTTCTCATCAAGAAGCTTTAGCTAGCCAGGTTACAGGACATACGCAGGCAGAACTGAACCAATTAGTGGCACTGACATTTTCACTTATTTATTGTGGTTTTAGGAATACATTATAAATAATGTTTTTATGTTGCTCCTTCTAAAAGTCTTTTCACATTGGTCAAGGTATGATGAACTCGTTGAACATTTCAAGCCACAGCTCAAGAAGGTCGCCTGTGGTTGAATTTGAGGCATCATTAAAACTAGAAAACCAACGCACTCTTAAGGGATTATTGATGAGCTGTCAGAATAATGCTGACTACTAATAACTAAGTGCTACATGTTTTATTCACCTATATTTTCTCAATTTTATTCTAATATAAATCTAGTTTATAGTATCTCTATTTAGGTGTTGACATTTTATTGCATTTTCTTACCTTGGGAGACAACCGGCTGGTTAAGACGAACATGGTACATAACAGACCGAACTGTCCAATGCTGAATTAGAGGATAGCCAGTCACTTCGCTGAAATTGACCATGCCTAAAGAAGAGAGGTTGAAGGGTTATATAGTGTAAAGTTATAATATTGAATTATTAGCAAATATTTGTTTTCTTTTTCCCAAAGTCTTTATGAGGGGTCTGACATTTGTAAGAAATTTGTAAAAATAGTCAGATTGGGCTATCTGACCCTGCTTCTTTGGTTGACTTGCAACACATCAATCCATCTATGCTGTTAGCCATGGGTATAACTACAGATCATGGGGTCCTATAGTTGAATTTGATTAGGGCTCCCCGGCCACCTCTCTTTGTGGCATCTGGCAGTGTCAATTGTGAAAATGCTGTTACTAATCATAAAATAATGAATGCCTAAATCATCAAGGATAGCTAGCAGGAGAGTTTTTAGCATAGTCAGTACATTACTATGGAGCAGTGCTTTGGCTATAAGTATTCAGGGAACAGCAGCAGTGCATGGAATTAATTGTTAATCTTATTAGCAGCAATAATAATAATCAGGATATTTTATATGATTACATAATTGTTAGTACTCCTGAACACAGTTATTATAATACTCTAATACTTTATTAAACTGTTTTTTTCCATTTTATTTTTTTGCACAATTACAAACCTCAGCTGTCTTATTAGGTTTTTAGTTGAGGAGACACTCTGAGATTTTTTTTTATTAACAGTCTCAGGAAGACTACATTAGGCATACAGAGTTAACTTTAGAGTGACCAGACTGTAGTGGAAGCTATGAGGTCATTAAATCTACTCTATACTGCTAAGACAGCAAAGCAAATTCTCTCAACTACATATTCTGTACAAAGCAATTGAGTCTGTGATAAGCAAATATTCTGATGACTTCTAGACTGCAGAATTTACCTCAACAACCTCCCAAAAGGGGGTCCCGTGAGCTGCTATGGATACTGGTATGGCACTGCTTTTGGTCAATTATGCTGCTTTCACATGCTAGTTTTGAGGCAATTTTAATCACTTTTAATTAGCCTTTGGTTTAAAAAAATACCAATTGGATGAATGAAACCACCAACTGTTTTCTCAGAACCTTGAAATGATCTAAATGTTGGTGGGAGGTTGCCTTGATCTGTTTGGTTGATTTTACCATTAAAAGCAAGTTAAAAGTGGTTGCCATATCGGTGGTCAGCAATAGAATGAATGTTCTGTGAAACTGCCAAACACCTTTCCATATTATGTGCATGACAAAAGATAGGGTCGCTCCAGATCACATCCTCTTTTGTGATTATTATACAAGTGGGTATCCATTTACCTCAAAAGTCAACAATGGTCTAGTAAAAGCAGCTCAAAAACAATTTAGTTGCTTGCAAATGATTGTCTGCCCTCCCAAACTGTAGAATCAGATCGAAATGGAAACTTACATCTAACAATACAATGAGAAAACTGAAAACCCAAACTAGCTTCTAACAAGATAAAGCAACAGATAATGAAACAGATTACACATTTGATTCATGTTCCTCTACTCCAAACAGCAATTCATTAGTATTGCAATCTGTATGTTGCTGACCATTTCTGCTTCCAGCTTTTGATGGCATTATTGCCCCAGCATAGTACAATATTACTAATAATTTTTTCCATTTAATGTGTATATTTTTGGTATTTATATTTTTTTTACCATGCTCTGCCTGCCCTTTGCTGCAGACAAAAAGTTGTTTTTGTCTAAAGAAGAATGAGGCTTTAATGTGTCTCCAATGCAGGCACATATTTGTGAAAAGGACACATAAACCAAAAACCATCACTGAGACATGCGTCTACATTGCCTGATGAAGGGGTTCCTGTGTGTCCCCGAAACGTCGCACTAAGTGTGTTATTTTGCTTTTGATGTACGTCAATAAATAGACGTAATCGATTTACTATTGGAGTGCCGGTGTCTATTTTTTTTCCCCACACACTAGGGCCCCTCGGTTATTGCTACCTGCAAACCTGGAACCTTTCCTGGTTGACTCTGCACCATGTGATCTGCTCTGCCTGATTTATGACATGTTCTCAAACAATATGAATTACTGTAACCCAATGCCTTGATGTATTACTGATCTTTGAAGGATCAGCTTAGTGCAGTTAAGCCTTGTTCACATGGCCTTCAGTTTGTATCAGAGTAGTGTGTACAGCAAAGTTTTGCTAGGCATTTGCAATTCTTTTGGCAAGTTTTGTTAAAGGCTTTTTAAGAATTCTTTATGTTCAGTTTGCTGACAGTCACTCTAAACAAGCTGCTAACAGTAGACTTCAGCACTACTTGAAGCTTGTTGAAAGCCTGCTAGCAGCTTGTTTAAAGTGACAGTCAGTATTCCCATTAAGATCTGCTCTTAACCTTCCTAAACTGGAGCTGAAGAGTTCTTTAGAGATTTCAACAAAACTACATGAAGCTTGTCAAAAGCTTGCTGTGCACATTACTTTTTTACAAGCTGAAGCCTGTGTAAACAAGGCTTAAGAATTAACTTTTTCCTTAGGGTCTTCTGCATGGTCTAGTGATGTCACAGGCCAGGGTTCTCCTCTGGCAGTGACAAGGGGTGGTACTGCTGCACTAGACATATTGATGTTAGTGCCATCTAATATAGTAATACTCTAAACCTAAGCTTCCTAATGGCAGAACACCAGGAAGTGGGCCCATGTCAGTCTGGGTATGGAGGAAGGAGGTTTATTGATGCAGGCAGTCATTTAATCTGCAAGATTGAAAACATCTAGTAGTGAAAAGGTATTAATGTGGGGAAGGAAGGGGGGTACAGTTTAGGTATGAAGGTAAGTATTGCATCAAAAAAGTGCACATTACTTTTTTACAAGCTGAAGCCTGTGTAAACAAGGCTTAAGAATTAAAGGAGAGGCAGCAAAACCTTGGGGTATAGGAGGCCTTATTCTGAGTAACCGATAGCTATATAGTGCTTTCTCATTAGAATTCACTTAATGTTCTGGGCCAATGAGCATTTGTAAAATCATGTGTATATATATATAGATATCTATATATAGATATCTGTATATAGATATCTATATATAGATATCTATATATAGATATCTATATATATATGCAGTATACATGAATAAAAAAAAATGAAGAGTAGACCCAAAATCATTACATTACAAGGGGAGCTGTAGATAAAAATGTACAAAAATGTGAATTCTCTGTCTATATTTTCTTCGATTGAACCAAATCTTGATATTGTGGTGTAAGTAATAAGATTCTCAAGGCATCACTGTAGCGCATATAAAGACAGGCAATCATACTTGTAAGATTACAAATGATGTACTGTTATGTAGCTGAGGGTGAGCTGTAATGTGTGGATGAGACTAAGAAACCACCTGAGATTCATTCACAGTATGAAGTCATGTGTGAGATGCATAGAACGGTAAGAGATCCTTGATAACTTTATGATGATCATTGTAAGCATAAATGCAAAGAACTGTGAAATTACCCCTCTGAGCGCAAATAAGATTAGGAACTCCTAGACATTAATTTAGGTCTTAATTGATCAGAATTATGAAATGAGCCACTCTGCAAATTTGCGATATCGCATAATCCATCTGAAAACTGGTGTGTGAAATACCTTCATAATTATGAATCATTCGGCAAGTAATCCGATTGAGGTAATGCCATCTCAATACACATCAGTGATATACGCGTGTGTATTGTTGGAAAAAGAAAAGAATGCATCTACAGAATGCTTGAAACAAAAGGCATCTAAGTACAGTATTATAATGTAATAATAACCATAATTATAAAAATCACACAATGTTTAAGTCTCTTCTTTTGCTCAGTTCTGACACTTTTCAAACTAAAAATAATACAAACAGAATTGAGAAGTAACACACCACTATCAAATGACACATGCATACTGCCCCTCTCCCCCTGCACAATACAGTACTTGTTTCCTTAGGCAATGTATTTTAGGCCGTGTACTATCAGTTTGGGCAGTGGGGGAGTCTAGTCCAAATCCAAAATTTAGAATTTGCATAGGATTTTTTGGGGGGTTCCAGTACCACTCTGGGGATTTGGGCAATGCTCTCAATGTCGGATGTAATACCTTAGGGAGTCTGCTGTATAGCATTAGTCTTACTTGCTTGCTCTAAGAGTATTACAGAAATGCTTAACATGAGTTTTGTTAATCCCCCATAAAAGTACCACATCTGATGATATTACATAGTTACATAGTTACATAGTATTTGAGGTTGAATAAAGACATTAGTCCATCAAGTCCAACCTATTAGGATCTCATTCTAGGAGTACCTGTACCCCTGTATATTACCTGTACCCCTGTATATTACCTGTACCCCTGTATATTACGGTCCCTTAAGAAATCGTCCAAAAGTTTCTTGAACAATTCCACATTATTTGCTGAAATCACCGCCTGTGGCAGTGAGTTCCAGACCCTAACTGATCTTACTGTGAAGAACCCCCTTCGCCCCTTGTGCTGGAATTTTTTTCCACCAATTTTAGGTGATGGCCTCTAGTTTTTGTAACAGAGTTAATTTTAAACAGTTTATCGCTAATGTTGCTACCACCATTGAACATTTTGTACATGGAAATCATATCCCCCCTTAATCTCCTCACCTCTAATGTGAACATGTTTAAATTTAGTAGCCTTGTCTCGTAGCTCTGGTCCTCCATACCCCTAATTAGTTTGGTTGCCCTCCGCTGGACTTTTTCCAACTCAAGGACATCTTTTCTTAGAACTGGTGACCAGAACTGGACCACGTACTCCAGATGAGGTCGAACCAATGATCTATAAAGTGGATCATTTTCTTTCTTAAGTTTGACCTTGGCCTGTTTCTAATTATGTCAGTACCACTGACTGAAACTTTCCAATTGTGCTTTTTAGTAAAGAATGCTGCTGGCATAGCTGTATCTACAGGATGCTCTGTATATATGTGCTGAGAGTCATTACAAAAGAGTTCCATAGACAGTGCGGCATTCCATGGACACAGCTGAGTTTACCCTTATTTCCTACAAGCAACTTTTGGTAATCTCCCATGGGTGCAGGTGGGGCCATATTTAAACCTTCTGCTGCCCTAGACACGCTT